GGAAGGTTTTTTAAGTAATTCTTCATTTTGTAATGAAATAGACACTGAAAAGAAGGTTTCAACTTTACCAGGTAAAGTTGTTACTTTACAGGTAACAACTTTACCATCATTAATCAGCAACCAATAAGTGGGTCAAAGTATAAAATACCTGTACTCTAAATGTCTAAAAGACACATTTTCTACTGTGTCTGAAATGTAGAAAACTCTCATTACCATACAACCAAATTGGGAGGTATTGTATGTTGCAAGGACAACTTAGCCTCATCATAATAAAATCATCATAGCATTTCTGGGGCACCACATTGACCCTCAAAAGCAAGATAGATCCAGGGTACCTCTATTCCACTACTCCTTTAGAAGTCACTTGAAGAAGGAGACATTTAATCAGCATTTTGTCCTGGTACAAGAAACAGGCACATTCCACTACTTTCTGCAACTTTCACCTGGAGCTACAGAAGGTGGTCAGGTTGCCCTGCCACGGAACTAACTAAGCTTTTAAGTCTTCTCTAAAGACCAGAATGAACACAAATTGACAATTTCAGCAGGAGCATACAGTATAGTGAGGTACAGGAACACCTACCTATCTTACTGAAAAATACTAACATGATGCACTTACTTGGGACCAGGTTTACAGCAGAAACTAGTAATAGAAAGTAAGCAGAAATGAATTATTGATAGAAGAAAACATGGTTGGAGCCTATTCGTACATATACGTTTACTCTTAAGGCATTTTTTTAAGATGCCAAACAATATTTTAGGTGCTAGGGAATCAGCCACAATCAAAACAAATCCCTGCTCTCAAGAACCTTATATTCTTATATTCTAGAGCAAGGTTCAGTAGTTCTCTTTAAAAAACCAGATGGTAAATAGTCTAATCATTATGGTCTACATGGTCTCTATTACAACTAATCAAATCTACTGTTTGAGTGAACGCAGTGACAGACAACATGCTTGTATTCCAATAAAAGTTTAATTATAAACAGGTTGCAGGAAGAGTTGCATCAGATATGAGGCAACCTACAAAAAAAAAGAAGTTTTAAATCATGAACTCTTAGTTACTCCAATGTCTAGAGGAACCAACCAAGGAAAGTCGAAAGCAGAAGGAGAGGAAGAAAATGTAGAAAATGATGTCTCCAAAACTAAGGGAAAACAGGTTTTAAGAATTATTTTGATATTTCATATAAAATGAGGGCTAAAAGTTGACCAGAGGATCAATAACAGAAAAGTCACTGGGCACAACTGACAAGAACCGTTTCAGTGAAGTGGTGGTAACCGAACCTGAAACTGGATGAGTTCAAGAGGTAATATGAAGTCCAGAGTGGCATCAGTGAATATGCACAACTCTGCCCTGTGAGAGGATGTGGTGTCAAAGGAGTCTGTTTGTTTATATGTGAGATTTTATAGCACGTTTGTTTGTCAATGGGAATTTACTGAATTTCAAAATGCTTAAATGTAGCACAGTTGCACTATGGACTAAAATCACATATCGTTCAATGTTTTCCTCAGAAAAAATTATAAATTGCTTTTCTTTAGCCCTTTGTTAGCTTTATAACTAAATTTTGCTGTATTTCCTAGCCCTGGCCCTATATTCCCCAGGGGAAATGGAGACTACATTAAATAGGCTTTTACACTGCCTTCTGTCTACTGTGTGATTCAGCAGGAGAATACCATTTCATTTTATGAATATCCTATTTGCTAAATGCATCTACTTCCAAAAAGTTATTTTTTGGCAAGTGGTGGTTTCTAGCAGCAAATTGAACAGTTCTTGTAGTTCAAAAAAGCAAGTTATTCAAGATATATGAGCTGAGAACAATTTATTTTGTTTGAGAGTCACAGATTACGTTCATATCCTAGTAGTCAATGCTCAGTCCATAATCCAAAGAGAATTATTGGCCTCTGTGCTAAATAAGCAAAACCCACTGCAATAGCACCTTGATAGGGACTACTGGGTATTCAAATGCTTAATGTAAAAAATAAATCATGGTTTTAAATGTTGCTTGCTACATGGACTTTTAGAACTCTGAAGTGAATAAAACGGTTCCACATCACTTAACCAATGAGCCGTTTATATATTTTTTTTGCCAACTTATGAACAATGCTATTTCTTTCATATGCTAAACCCTACTTTCTAGGTTCCAAATGACAATTTTGGTGTTTTGCTTTCGGAAACACCTACTTAGGAAAATAATGGGGTTTTTTTGCACAAGTTTTAATATTTATCATCTTTCCTGTGCAGTTCAACCAAGATCTGAACAGTAATATCTTCATCTTATAAACAATGATTTTTCTAAGAGAAAGGGTAAGTGAGGGGAAGAAAACATTAATTCTAAAACTACAGCACCACTGTGCTTCTCAGATAGATGAAAATGGAACACTCTAGAGGGAGAGACCCTGCAAACAGTATGGATATCTTTTCAGAGTGCTCTAAACTTGGATGAATTTTAGTTATAAATCACCTTGATGAATGGAACACATTTGCTAAAATGGTTCTGTAAAAGCTACACAAGTCTTATGGCTTGAATAACAGCCTAAAAAACTGGAGGTTACAAGGAAAGGGGGAATCTTCAAAAAAAAAAAGCCACTGGCTTCTCTTGAAGAACCCTGAATACTATCCTGATCAGAAATAGTTCCCTTTCTTTTTTTAAAATAATAAAGACATCTATTTTAAGGAGAGTAAGATTAGATGAGATAGGAGTAGAAACAATAATTAGATAAGTAGAGAATATTTGGAGAGGAGACATAGTGGCACGGTAAGGAGTACAGATTCTGGATGGAGCCAGGTTATTTGTGTTTGAATTCCAACTGCTCTTCTCACAAACTGTTAAAAGTGGGCAATTTATTAAACCTCCAAGTGTTTCAGTTTTCCCATCTGTCAAGCACCACTATTCCCTACCTATTGGGTTGGCATCATGATGATTAAATAAATTAATACTTACAAAGAGTTTCAACAGCGCCTAGTACAGTATAAGTACATAACAAGTGTCGGACAATATTATCACAAAATTTTTATGTTTGTACACATGTAAACATGCAAACCAAACTGAAGTGACTACAACTAGAACAAACAAATGGCAGTGTCCTCTAATTTATCCATTCACCAAACATAAAAATTCAATGAATGTTTTCCTTAAATATAATATTCAAAAATTTTACATCTCGTCTTCTAGGATTACTTAACAGAGATTTCATCTAAGCTCCTTTGTCTTGACACTGTTCCTCTAATAACCCTTAAAAAAATAAAACAACAAAATCCACAACAAATGTGTGGTGTTTAAGCATGTAATTAGTGAATGACATCATTTATTTGTTCTGTTGATAAAATTATTTATGGTCTGAAGTATGGGCTTGTTTCTAAAGCAACTTAGAATGACTAAATTGCCTTATGAAATGATAATAGTCACATGCAGGTGAAACTATTATGTCAAAATCGTACATTTTTGAAGAATAAAAAGATAGAATGTTCATGACATAGGCCAAAGAAATCTGGTTACCTGATACAATTCTGTCATTTTCAACATCATCACCATCAGCCAACAATTACTGGTATGTTTAGCACTGCAGTAATATACAAAACTTTGGCACAGCTGAACCTTGTGTATTATGGATAGTTAGATTATTTAATAGTCTATTAAATAATAGATTATTTAATAGTCTATTGATCAAACTTAGAGGGCTATTATCGTTCAAAATAAATTTCCGATGATGAAGACAATTTAACCCTTAATTATATGTTTATTTTTTTTAAGATGAAACAGGTATCCCACTTTATTTTTTTGGTAGAATGACTGAGTGTAGGTCAGAGGTGCAGGGGTGAGAGGATTCACCAGAGACAGAGTGGGGAAAAGAATAGGCAGATTGACTGCAATACAAGGCAAGGGGAACAGGGGAAGAGACAGGAGAGGTCTGCTGCGCCATATGTGGTTTAGCTCCCTGCCCAAGAATGGAACTCTGGCCATAGCAATGACAGAGCTGAGACTTAACCCCTAGGCCACCAGGAGACCCTATGTATATGTTTAGGGCCTTTCAAAGTTAAGATTAGATAATAGATGTAACAGCTGTATTAAAAATTTGGTAGTGACATAGAACATTTATTAAAAAGGTAACCTTTCTCCACAATCAACTCTGTCAGCAGCCATGTAATTGGTGAAAGAAAGAAACAAAAATTACATATATCTACTCTTCATTCTTCCATTCTACTACCCTTGCTCTCTTTTCGAACTGGATAGGTAAGTTGACTAGATCAACTATGATACGTAATTTTATTCTAAAATGTTTTAAAGGATTTTAAAAATTAAACTTCATATTTTATTTGATTTTTACCAGATTTTACTCTAACAAGTCAGTTGAAATACTTCCTAAGCCACAAGCTTAGATTGGGTTTAGTTGTCCAGACTCCTTGGTCTCCTCTAATCTATGAAAGTTTCTCAGTCTTTTCTTGTTGTTTATAACCTTGATTTTTTTAAGATTATTGGTCAGTCATGTTGCAAAACTCAGTTTGTCTGTTTTCTCATGATTAAAGTGAACTTATACCTTTTTTTTGCAAGAAAACCACCAAAGTACCTTTCCAGTACTTCAATTTAAGGACTACATTATGTTGATATAGCTTATTATTGGTGAAATTAACCTAGACTACTAAATTCAAGTGATGTGTACCAAGTTCCTCTTCTAGGAAGTTACTAGTTTTCCTTTTGTAATAAATATTTCGGAAAAGATACTTTGAAACTATATAAATATACTATTTTTTCCTCAAACTTTTACCCAATTATTCTAGCATCCACTGGTGAATCTTACCTACATTATTATTACTGAGATATTTATAAAAGGAATTAAAGTATAACAATATAATGACCAGACTGTTCTTGATACAAATATATTAAATTCTACTGAATGAAGTATTTTATATTCAAAATATGAAAAAAGTTATTCTCTTTTGTCAGTCTATTCAGTTAATACTAGTCAACTACAATACCAATGAATAACATAATTGAAATGTTACTTACATAACTATGACTTTTAAAGAAATCTGATGGACTATTGGTGAGGATCTTGTCTCCCTCCAAACCAATTACTCTTTTACAAATATTTGATTTTGGATCATTTGGGCTTTTTGCAATCACAATGTCACCTCTGAGAGAGAAAAAAGTAAAAAAAGCGTCAGTGTTATTATTTGTTGAGCATAAACACATGCATGCCACTGCTATAATACCTTTATAAAGCAACTCAAATAAAGTCACACACTTTATCCTCTAACATAATGACACTCCCATATATTTGCCAGTAGTTAGAAACTCAGTGACTAACTTTTAGGGGGTCAGAATCCAACAATGAGAGAATTAGAAAAGCTATTTGAAGATTCTAAAATTTCTAATGGTCCCACAAAAATTGTCTTTTTGCACTGTTCTTTCTGTATCTAAATTTTCATAGGCAAAGTTATGGAAAAACAATTCCATGTAAATACCACAAAATCATGTAATAATTTTTACTGCCTTTCTAGTAGTATTGATTGACTGTATAGCACATAAGAAGGTAGAAATATCAACTGTGTTTCCCTAGAGTTCAAAGAATTGAGGAATTGCGGTATGTTAAGTTATAAAACCTAGATAATTTATCGTAAAGCTAAAAAAGGCAAATTAGAGAAAAACTATCAAAAGATACAATCAAATAAAATGCTAAAAGCTGCCTAACCATACTCCATAATAAATAAATTGGCATATCATATATATGGAAGACACGATTCACGGAAGAAGGAACAATTCACATGTAATAGAAAAATACATGGAAAAGAAGGGAACAAAAATGTAGGACTAATGTGCAACCCAACAACTCAGTGCTCTTTCTGTATAAAACAGACATTAAATGAATGTTAACTAATACACATACTTGAAAGGATTTAATAAATTTATTTGTTATCAGCACCAGAAATCATTTGGTATCACCACTTAGAATAGGATTTTAATAGGTTTACTGGCAAACAATATTTGCCAAGTTTTTCAACGCAATGTAAGTAATTAAAAGAACCATAACAAGTAATATTCCTGGCTCCCAGCTATACACAATGCCTGTCACAGGCTATAGAGAATAAGAAGACAATCATCAATTTAAAAAAGGACTATTTTTAAGTATTAATATTCCAAATGATTGATTTGGATATGTAATGTAATTTCTAATTCCTCAGTTCTTGATTTAAAACATTCTAGAACACCCCCCAATTCTCACCATCAAAAAAAGTAAAATAAGCTTAAATGCATATTATAAGAGGACCTGTTATCTAATTTGGACAACAATGCAAGGGACACACTGACACAAGAGGCTGTTCATGCTTATAGAAACTATTAAAACTTCTCAAAAAAAAGATGTTTGAATCAAAATATTTTCTGGCTGGTCATTAACATGATTATTTCCAAGAGTTTTTAAAGATAAAGTTAAGAAATCATAGAAAAGACACAATGTGTATGCATGTTTTCATTGCAAACAGCAATTTACCTTTGGATACCATAAAAGTGTCGACTAAGATTTTCTGCAAAGACAATATCTGAATTTTGAATTGTAGGCTCCATTGATGGTCCAGAACACTAAAAAGAGAGGTAAATTGAGTTCAAAATTTTTAAAATTTAATGTAAGTCATATGAGCAAGATTGAAATAAAAAAAATCAAAACAAATGTTCTTCAGTCTTACAGGATGACTCATAACTATTAATAATTGGCAGTTCCCAGACAAGTTCAACTCTATAGACCAACAAGTCTGGAAACACAGGTAAACACTTCACAAATAGTTATTTGTAACTGATATTATAGTTATTTGCAACTGCTGTTACATTATAATACATGAATAAAATAATACTGTTTCCAAAAATTTGGCCAATGTATAGAATATAAGTTCCAGGGCAAGAAAGTTAACTCTCCTGTCCTATATAACTAAAACCAAACAGTGCTTGACATAACCTTGATAATTATCTCTTGAATGAATAAATTAATGATTTATTTATTTTCTTACAAATGTCAAAATTCATACAGTGCCCATGTTGGTAATTTATTAAGTGGTATCACACTCTTCCTAATGAGTTGATGCCTTTCCTTTTTGTCTAAGACAATAGCTTAATCATGTGATGGGGCTGCAACTCATGTTCTATTGGAAATTGCTGGTGTAATGGGATGCACTGCAAAGACCTCAAAACTGTATTAAGTATTCTAGCCACTCAAAAAGTCAAAATTCAAGTCAGCATTTATTCTACTTAATATGTAAATAACACTTTTTACTTAAAACTTTCTATTCCAACAGAAATAACACAATGAAAATTTAAATAATAATTTTGTGGCCCTCTGGAAGTACCAATGTAACTGAAAAATCAGAAAATTTCAGTTAAATATATTTATCTGCATTACACCAGCTCAACTTGAGGGTATTCATGACTGACTCTGTTAGAATAAACCTGATAAAAATACCACCACCACCATCACCAAAACCCATTGATTTGCCACTCAACTAACTTATTCTTTTGTTTACATGACGAAAGGTTAGCATAACTGTGATTTTGAGTTATGTGATGCAATGCTAAGAAAAAGCATTGGCATGAGGTGATCAACCTCCACATTTTAATTTTGACACAGGCAGAATAATTCGTTTTAATAATACTAAACACAAAGGTTAAGAATAGAAGTTCTGAAAATTATAGAAATCTGTGTTGAAATTCCAAGTCTGTTACTAATTGTAAAACATAGAGCAAGTTACTTAAGTCATCTTCTCAGCCTCATATACACAGTGGATTTCTAAATAAGTATCTCAGAAAGTGTGAGAAATCAAATAAGTTAATAAATGTAAAACCTCAAACACATTCAGAAACACAGTAAGTGGCATTCAATAAGTGCCAAAATCTATTGTTATTTATTATTAATAGGAAGTTTTGTGCTCCATCCCAACAGAATATAGAACCATATTTAAGTAATGGTTCTTAGATATTTATATGTGTCAATTCATCAAAAAAATTAGAATGATTTATATCCCAAAATTTACAATGATTTTGTTTTAACTTTCACACTTTATTCATTTCATTAATTACTCTGATTAATTAATTAATAAGAGGACAACATCTCTTATTCAGCTCTTAAGTATAAATTTAAAATGGTTGTTCTTGAACGTAAAAACTTACCATGACAACACCACCAACATATTCAAAAGCACAATGAGCTATACAGCCATACTGAATAGTATAGCCAACAAGTCGAAAGGTTTTTCCCAGAACACCACGATGCATAGTTCTATGTAGTCTCTGCTACCATTGGCCTGATGATAAATTTTAAAAAGTTTCATGATCAATACTATTTTAAAACATTTAAGAAACAGTTTTATTGTCAAATATTTTATAATGATCCAGAATGTATTAAATGTCAAATTCAGCTTGGTACAGAAAAGTAGTGCCATTCTTTTCATTTCTGCTAGATATTTTAAATGGCGAATTATAGCCACTAACATTTTGATCTGAGATTAAATCCAGAAATCACTAGTTTATATATGAATGAGACTTCAGACTTGTCTGTTCCTTTTTATTCTTGGCATTAAGGTAGATAACTAGGAAAAGATAGTAACTCTTCCAAAGTTGTTGCTTACTACACTTTATCAGTTCTTGTCATAATGTGATGTGATATAAAGGGGAAAGCACTAGAGCAGGTGTACAGAAATGCAAATTTTATTTTTTTTTAAAGATTTATTTATTTATTTATACAAGCACCGGGTACAAACAGAAGCGCAGGAGGGTGAAAGAATTCACCAGAGCCAGAGTGGGGAGCAGAACAGGCAGACTGACGAAACACACTGCTGAGGGGAGTAGCGGGCGGCAGGAGAGGTCTGCGAACCATGCGGGACCCTCCTCTGGTGGCCGGGGAGCAGCCAGGGATCGAACTGGCGCCGCAGAGGCCCCGGGCAGCCTCGCAACACAGCGCTCAACTGCTGCGCCACTGGGGAGGCCCAGAAATGCAAATTTTAAATTGGTTTGTTAACTTGTGTGATCTTCAACAAACTACTTAACCTCTCTGAGCCATAATAAAATGAAAATATATCTCACAGATTGGTTCTGGGAGTCAAATTCATAGCATATGTCAAAGTGCTTTGTAAATTATAAAGTTACATTCAGTTGTCAGCAATTAACTATTGAGATAATAATAAACATGAATATTATGAGACAACATAAAGAACCATGTATTTTGAAAAGCTATATACATTTAAAACATTAATATTATTCATCTAAATTGGTCCTACTACCTGTGCCTTACTTTCTATTTACCTTTGCAACTATTGTATTTACCTGTTGAACAAACTGTTCAACTATGTTTTAAGCATTTCTCAAGTTATGGTCTAAGGCTTAAGCCTAGGCTAATATGCTATTCTCAGATTTTACTAAAATACATCAATGATAACAATATGTAATATTTGCTCAATACTTGCCATATGTCAGGGTTTACAAATTAACTTTTATAAAGTAGGTATTATCATCCTCATTTTATAGATAAGAAAAACAAGCCTAAGAATTATAAACTTATGTAGTAAATATTATAAATCAGGCAGGAATTATTTAGACTCCTTTTCAGGCTCCTTGACAAATGCCTTCCATTCCGTTCTCAGTTTCCAACCTGATGCTTCCCCAGGTGATTCTGAAGCACAGTGACATTTGAGAACTATTACTCTAAACTCTCAAAGTAGCCAAGGGCCACCTCCAGCCTTGAGCAGCATTGCTGACTTGGTTGTTTAGTGCTGTTTGCCATATAACTTACCATATTCCACGTGCTGTGAAAAAAAGTTAGGAAACATTGGCATAAAATATTCTTATTCGACCCAAGGAACAGAACTTTTTAATTTTTATTCTTTATCTAGACCTTTCCATTTTTGAAAAGTTGAGTCATTAATATAGAGAATCAAGACCTTTAAAGGGAGCCTATGTACATTATCAAAAAATTAATAGTGAAGACACGTGCAAAGGAGTTTTTTTATTTTATTTTCTAGAACTGCAAATTCGAGGATCCCCACAAAATTTTATTGAAAACTATTTATATTGATTCATTCTAGAAGAAATAATTACCATCACTTTAAGGTTTAAAGCAATGAGTAGGCTTTCAGTCTGACTGCAGCAACAAAATAACTTGAGAACCTAATTCAAAATTCCAATTCCCAGGCTCCCATCATAGAACTAATGAATGAGGATCTATGGGAACAAAGCTGCAGAATCTGTAGTTTTAATAAGCTCTCAAAAAAAGGATATTCAGTAAAGGATTTTGTGCTGTTTCAGACAACTGAGGGATACTTTAGAAACTTTACAAAACTTAACCATTTGTTATTTTTAAACTGAATGTTAATGCTGGGATGTTTCCATAAATTTTATCACGTTATAATGCTATTATTTCAATGAATTTAATAAATACAGTATTATTGTCTGAAGTCGCTATATACACATACATATATCCAAAATCAAAGCTCATTTTATGTTTAGAAAGAATAAGCAGTTGACACTATTAATGCAATTAAGTACCAGTCTCCAAACACTGACAAATCAAAATCACCCCATTCATCCACCAATAACCCCCTGATGGCTATATGATCCATCTATTTCAGAACAATATACAACTTGTACAAGCAATCGTTGAAGTGTATTCATTCAAATGGAAAAAATATCATTTAGCATTACCATAGGCAGCTGTCTCTGTGCCAGTCTACAGTTCTTGTGTAGCCCAGAAAGATATTAAGTCTCATGAATAACCAGAAGAGAAAAAACTTTATCATCTCATAAATAATCAAAAATTTCTGTAATTCCCAACTTGCTCTTTAGTTACACATGACTTACTTTAAAAAAAAAAACTCCTTATCTCTCACCCTACATCCCTTTCTCTTATTTCCAACCTCCCTTAACACTTTCTGACATCACCATGAGTTACCTGTGTAATAAAATAAATATTTATAGATTTTAAAGATGAGCCAAATTTCTAATAAAATATCAATAAGATATTAAATGCAAGAATCTTATGACTAGCCGAAAAGAATATAATCAGTGAGAAGACCTTGTCTATCTTAACTGAATTTAACTAAGTTTACTTGGGACACTACAAAGGAAATAATCATCTCTAACCAAATAAAAATGATGCTAGAATGGAAAAGGAAAAAATATCCTCAAAGCCATTCACCAAACTGATAAATAAAAAAGTTGCAAAGTAAGCAGTGATGAGGTTTAACAAATATTTCCGACAAATTTTGTTTTGAAAGAAAAGTTTCTTTAAAAAACATTAAATGATACCATTAACTACCACAGAAATTACCTTGATTAAATATACCACCTGGCAAAACAATTTGAAATTACACATAAAGCAAATATTTTATATTTAAAATACAAGTAGCTGTGCTATAAGGATAAGGAAAAAGCTTTAGTCCATTAACTTCACGGATACATCTTTTCACTGTGATAGCATATTTTTTAAATAAACAGCTTTTCAAATAGTAAAAGCACAAAGGCTCAAGAAGTCCTTTATAAACATAAATAAGTGCAGTTCCATAGTAATACAGTTAAATTTTCTCATTTATTCATTTAAAATATGATAACGAATGAAGAAACACATATTGAAATACAACAGTTTAAAACCAGTTAAAACAAAATACATTTAAAATAACATCTGTTATGTAGGTTGGATGAAAGAATTATATATAAGTTCACTATGTTTTAGTTATTGATTTTTCTAATAAAGATCTCACATTGGCTACAAGGAAGCCAATACATTATGCATGATGGATATTTATATTTTAATTATTCTTATAATTTAAAAAAATATTTTAGTCACCTATATTTAGTTAAGATTTTAAGATTTGAAACCTTAAGATTAAGGCTTTATCATCTATTTTTTTAAATGTAAAGCAACTAAGTCAAAAACATGGTAAGATGAAAATCAAGTTCTATGAATAAATATTTTAAAAGTAAGTACTCCAGGATCATAATACTGACAACACTAATTATCTTTTCTAGTCTTGGCAGTTATGTTGCATACTGTTTGGGTGACTGATGGGATAATTTCACTTCATTTTCTCTCAGTTTATTCTGGACCATGTAAGAGAAGAATATTAAAATAATTAACACCTCTAAACAAAGTACTTGATAAAGTTTTTAGTTGATATTAAATGCCAAAAAACTCTACTAAATAATACATGATTCCATCACAAATAACCAAACCCCATTTGTTAAAGGAAGATTTGACTAAGATTTCTAAATAAAAAAATAAATTATTCAGTATTAATATTAACTATTTTAGGACTTCTACATTATAATCATACACTTTCATGAAGAGCCTTTTTCATCAGTAGCTTGATCTAGCATTACTTTAATTTTAAAAATATATGTGTCTATATACTTCCTATCATTAAATGTTTTACTCACTAATAATATTTAGTTAGCATGAATGGAGCAGTCATATAAGCAAGTAAAATGTATAACAAATTATCCCAATTCCTTATATCAAAACATATTTGGATTATATTATTGATACTGGCCTTATAGCCAAAAAAACACAAAGTATCTAAATTAATATTTAATCTCAAATATAAATCTTTACCAGTAGCAAATACTTTATGCCATTTAACTGGAAAAGTACAAAGGACATTAGTAATCTACTTTTCTATTTGAATATTTCCATAAATTTTAAGTCATACGTAGCATTTCATAGTTTAAATATGTCTCACATAATTTATAAGTCATATTGTCTATAATAAGTCTACGTATTTTAAATAATTAATGTAAAACATATTCTTTGCCTTGATCACCTGAATTTTTTGTTGTTGTTTATAAAATTAATCACAGTTAGCAGGATAGAAATCGCTTTGAGCTTCATGAATGACATCCAAGAGATGGGAAAGGATTAGTTCTCAGTTGCTGCCAGTTATAGCGCCAGGTGGCTTTTTCTGCAGTGAAGGTGTTACCGATAATCCCATTACACTGGTACCAAATCTTGCAGACATCAAAATTATCACCAAGGTTCCTTTTCATCCCATCCTTTCCAAATGACTGGAAGTCGCTTCACCTGAAAGAAGTCAAATCCACATGCAGCTGCTGTTTTAGCAGGCAGCAAACTCCCTGAGAATGCCAGTCGTGATTCAATTTTGCTGTGCTGGTGGCCCCCTATTCCCTGTCCAATAATACATCTGTTAAAAAATCCTACAGCTACAAATCAACTTTAATCCTACCAGGGACCTCATGTTGGTCTTGTCTTCCAAAAAGGCAGCAGGTTCTGCTGTCTATCTCTGCTAGCGTATGGGGAATACCCTTTAAATCCCAGTCCTACTTAGAAGAATAAGCTAAGGATCACAAAACATGACCTCAAAAACCCTGATATGACTATATTCTGACCCAGAGGCATTCATTCTAGGTGAAGATTAGAACTTTGCATAATAAGATTACACAGCAAGTGAATGATATCAAGGGACTATCCATATGCAGCCGCCTGGTTTTCTATATACAGCCTGTGCTCTGCAATATGCAGTGCAGACGAAAAAGAGCTTGGTCTTTCTAGCTGAAATAAAATAGATTCACATAAATTAGTTGGCCATTTCCAGATTCCTAAATCCCCTATTACATCTTTTATTGACAGCTCCTGTGAGGATAGCACAAATGTTATTCCTTTTTATTCTGTGCTTCTGTAACAATCATGCTCTGTAATTGAAATGTACATAGATTATGTCTCAAAATTAACATCTTGTTTGCTGTAATCTTGGATTACAATTGACTGTGTACATAATAAAATTAGGAAATCAATGGATGGATTTATCATCTACAAGAAACTAGAGGTATTGTTTAAAGAATAGTTTAACATTTTGTGCCAACACTTTAAATACAGAAGTCACAGAAAGAAGTCAATAAAAACTTAAGTGAGTAAAAGAATACAGTAGGCACCAGCTCATACCTACATAAAAGTTAGCTTACAATAAAAATTAGGTCATTTTCATTAAAATTTAGAAAATGTGAAAAAATCAGAGCTCACATGAATTTTCTCTAAGCCATACTTGAGCAAGGTGATTACACAGGAAAAGAAGGCCTCTACATTTTATAAAATACATATAGCAGCAATATTTTTAATGTTTCTTTGATCACTTCATACTTTAAAATATTTTACTGGTCCAAATCAATCATAAGTCAAGGTTTGTAATTCTTAACTGTGTATTTTTAAAGCATTTAGTAATCTCCTTATATTTTCACACACACATAATATTTAAAATGCATAGAATCCTAGAGGTATTTAGAAAAAAATACTCAATATACAGCTTTGTTTTTTTTTTTGCTTCCAAGAAGTTCAATAGCAATTCTAAGCAAACTTTTATGAAAGAGTCCTATATAGTCACACAAATACATATCCAGAAAAATGCTAAGGATAAGATGAGGAGTTCGAGCATAATCAAACAAAAAAGGTACAAGATTTCCCATGGGATTCTTGTAAAACTAAGCTCTATAATAAACTTAAAATATGGTTTATTTGTAAAGTTGGATTTGCCCACAATTTGGAGGAATATAACACATTCATAACATTAGTCTTTATCTCTTTATTATCACTCAGGCGTCAGGTGATAAAATTTTGAGTTGGTGTATTAATCAGGCAGATATACCTCAATAGTACCAATGGCAGAGCTCTAAGGAAGTTACACTGTATGTAAGTTCAACTACAATGCACATAAATAATGATTGTCTTGATTAAGAGTTTACTCGAAAAAAAACGAAGGTGAAAAAATATACATTTCTGTTATATGTATTTATGTATAATATTTTAGAGCTACACCGTCCAATAAGGTAACAACCACTAACTTCATATAGCAATTGAACACTTGAAATGTGTCTAGTCAAATCTGAGTTGTGTTATAAACACATAATATACACTGGATTTTGAACAGTACAAAAAATATTTCATGATGATTACATGCTGAAAAGATAAGATTTTAGAAGTAGTGGGCTAAATAAAATACATGTGCGAGTCACATTATATTCTAATGGACAGCGCCACTTTAGCTGATCAGATATTTTCAATAATATATTCCTAAACTAATTGAAATTCTATAACTAATAAAAGTACTAAAGCAAAGAGTTGTTATGGAAGAATAAACATTCTAGTGTCGAATTTTATAGGTAAGCTTAGTAAAGAAAGTATAAAATGCTGTCATTTTAACCTCTACTTGATATTTCTAGCTTGAGAGTAGTAGAGAAGAAGAATCTGCCAAGTTACTGACCATTGTGTACCAAAAAAGAGTGATGTTTTATAGTTACAAAAAGGCTGTGGTCCAGCAAATATAGGCTTTTTAAAAAATGCAATTTTTGCAACTTCATAAAAACTTCACAGTAAGGTCTATATAACACCCCTCACTGTGTTCAAGAGACAACAACTACAGCCTGGATCTAGAAAGGGTCATAAATTTTTTTCCCCCTAGTGCTATAAAATCATTTATATTTAATTTTTTTTAAGTAACAACTATAGAATTTTGAACCAGTCAGTATATTTCAGAATTTTAGCAAAAGAAAAAAGGTCAATTTTATATATTATTAGAAGGCTGTTTTCTGTTAGTCTTTTCATTATATACAAATCCATTATTGAAAAAGATTTTACAAAAATAAAGAAAAGTGTAATGAGCCGAAATATAAAATATATATCTAATTAAATTCAAGAATGTTAATGTCTAATTTGGTATGACCACAGACAAGTGGTATTATATAATCAAAATACAAAGTCTATCTTTGTCACACCTTGGAATATTATATCAACATAAACAGCACTGAGTAAGGTATCAACTCATTTAAAAGTAGCTTTTCTGTAATTATTGCTTTATGATAATTATCTAAAATACTAAAACTAAAGATGAAACATAAGTATCGATAAAAAAAGAAACACAGATAAAATCTAAATCATTTCTTTATGACCTAGCTGTGCCATTTTCCCTAGCCTTTTAAAATTACATAAGTTCCTTCATTTTCTAGTTTCAAGTATCTCTCTCTCTCTCTCTCTCTCTCACACACACACACACACACACACATACACACTAAAGAAAACAAAATAACAATAAAAAAACTTTCTAAATATCAATAGATGAGTGCAATGATATTCAGTCTGTTAATCCCCTGACATCCAAATTCATGAATAAAAATTCATCAGTTTTAAATACACTGAGCCTATTAAGCAAGAACAAAAGCATATGCACAAAAGAGCTTTTAATATATTTCAAAGCCCACAAGAGCCATGGTCTCATTAAAATTATAAATTACACAAACATGGAATGAAGATTCAAACTGCAGTGCAGCTAAGCAGATTACAGAAAACCCCGCGTTCCATATGATAACACACCATGGCCCTCCCAGATGGGGGCTTGGAACAAAAAGGCCATCACCACAGCTAGGGAAAACCTCCTTGTGATCTCTGGTTTCTGTTCAGCAGATGACAGCCAAATAATATGTTGATTATTCTGTTTGTGCTGCTAAGCTTGTAAGATGGAATAAAAGCGATATGATCTATTGTGAACCCAATGCTAATGTGTTGCTCCACTCATAAATAATATACTGAATTTATTTTGAAACTATCTTTTATCTGAATTTGAGTTTTTAACTGCATGAATTAAAATAAAAGCCAGGATAAAATATTTAATTTGATGCTTTAAACTAAAATATATAGTTGACAAGTGAAAAATATCTGTGCTTAGTTAAGAGTCAAATACAATCACCTTTCTTTTTATTTCAGCACTGTGATCAGAGACAAAATACATTTTTAAATAGAAAATCACTCTCATTATAAAATTACAAGATTAAGTAGTACAATATCATACAATTAATAGTAAACATTGATAAGATAAAAACTAAAATACCAGGGTATATAAAAAGACCTTCTACAATATAAATAATAACACACAATCAGAACATAGATCAAGAATGTTTTTGATTAACAAAAAGTATCACTGAAAGTCCTTTAAATGTTCAAAACTTGCACACAGATAGATGCTAACAAGAAATCTGACATAAAATCCAAATAATTTAAAGAAAGCTTATAAAAATAATTTTCAAATGCAACATCCAGTATTTTATATTGCTTTGGAAATGTCTTAAAACACACTTTCCCCCTCAAATAAGTATCTTAAACTTTAACAGAGAGAATGATACTCAAAAAGGTAACTGCAATTATGTCTATAAATACTTCACAAAATTTTATGTTTCAAGAATTAATATTTTCATGTATACTAGTATTACTAAAAATAATGAAAATCATTACATTTATTTTCCCATCCCAAAAATTCTTCCCTGAGAAGACTCTCCTTAAATGCAAACAAACAAACAAAGCAGTATATTAAAGCTGCAGGTAAGGTAAACATAGATAAACACATTTTCTTAAATAGATATTTGGTACAAGTACATAATTATGGTCATTAGCCCAAGTCCACCTCTTATTTTCTGTCTAGAGATATAGAGTAAGTTTTAAAAACACAGCAAATTTGTATAACATGAAAATATAGTCTAAAATTTTATAATATGAAAGGTAAACATTAGCAGTTTTAAGGAAAAACACAGAACACAGAAAATCCTCAGAGTAGAATAGTATTTCTTAATTGGACATGAAAAGCAATACACATAAATTATAAACTAAAATTTAAAGACAAATATCTATTCATGAAAAGAAGTATTAATAGAGTAAAAAAGGCAAACCTCAGAATAGGAGAAATATTTGCAATGCCTATATTTAGTCAAAAACTCATACTCTGAAAAAATTAAGAACTTCCACAAATCAGTGACAAAGACAGACTGACAAAAAAGTGGGTAATAGAAGCAAAAAGGCACTTCATGAAAGAGAAAAAACAAATAGTCAATATACACATTGAAAAGCATGCAATTTCATTAATTAGGGAACTAGAAATTAAAAGACAATGGTTTACTCTTCTGTACCCACCAGAATTTGAAAAATGAAAAAGATGGAGGAGAGGACTGAGAGTTAGCAAAGATATGGAAAAACAAATCTCCATGAATGTAAAGCATTTTAGAAAACATGCAGAACTGATTAAAGCT